GTTGTTGTTGATATCCAAGAACTAGATGTGTTCTTGATGTATTGTTAGCCTTTGGAGTTGGCTCTAGAGAAGAAACTGTGTATCCCATTATTTTATAGTGGATGGCTCTTTTACTGGACTAGGTCCCGGTGTTTTCCCCTTCACAGGGTTTTCCTCGTTAACAAATCTTGGTGTTCAATTTATATTCTTGCCGGTGTGTGTGAGTTGTTGGAGCTAGTCATTACTTCCGTCAGTTTAATTCTGCACATTGAGGGATTGATATATTATTATTTCTGCTGCTTGTGTATTGTATTGGTTCAATCCCCAACACATTGAAACTAATCTCAAAATATCAAGGAATCAGTTAGCAAGAATCAATCTATACAGGAGTAAGTTTAAACAATTGAATTCAAAAAATAACTATCCTCAGAAAATACAGGATTTAACTGTCACAATATATCTGTAGCCCCTAAATCTGCAACTCCAAAATCTACAGCTCCAATATTCTCTCTAACAAATCCATCCTTAATGATTCCAAACTATCTATTATCCCTATTGATGTATTTATGGAGGTAAGTTTCTTGCAAGTTTCAATGAATAAAATTAAAAGGGGGAATCCAAACCCAGTGCTCTGGTTCCATGTGGAAGCTTAAAAACTCCACTTAGGCTCATGTGGTTTTTCAAAAAATAAAAATAAAAAAAATATTATCTTCTTGATTATTCAATTCTCAATCAAAACTAAGAAAAATAATCTAATAACTTGTCACCATTAATATTTTGTTTACAACGGGCGTTTGCTATAGCTTTTACATCTTCATTAACAATAGTGTCCCCGTCATGAAATTTATTCTTTAAAAAATGAAAATGAATGCACCTCTGCCTAATATACGTTTACACATCAAATTTCCTAGCAAAATAAAGAAACAAATTCGAAATATTGCAATAAACAAATATCTTCATTGCTTAAAAAATATTTGTCACCAAGTGAAGTCAAATGTACTAAAATTATTTTATTTACATGCAAATAAAAAATATAAAGTTCAACTCAAACGTCCCATTAACTACATTTCTTAATAATTGTTTCTTCGGCTCGAAAAGTAATCCTTATGTCTTTCCTTCCAGGGAAAGAAGGTAAATAGGAAGGAAAAGAAGGTAAATTAGGAAATCCAAAATGGAATGAAAAAACAATGCGTAGTGCTTGATAGGGCTAAACAACGAAACTGCAAAATCATAAAATGGAACAAAAATCTCTTTTTTTTTTCAAAATCATTGGTTTAGATCCAATTCGATCCAAACATTTTGATTTTGAATTGAACCAAATCACTTCCCAATGATTTGGTTTAAGTTTCGGTTTTTGCAAACTATTATATATCGTAGAACCATTTACAAAAAAATCTAAAAAGAAATTAGTTTATATTTTATACAACCTAATTACAACTAAACACGTCCTAATAAAAAAGACACATCCATAATAGACCCAACCCAATTAAATTCAATCGTAACCTAATTAAACTAGAGGAAATTACAAAAAACCAGACATTTAACTTTTCAAATTCAAAATTCAGGTCTGAACTTTATTTAATCAAAACTCATGTATTAATTGAATTATTAATTATATTAACC